CTCTCCCACTGCAACTCTCTCGTAATCTCTTCGGCCTTGAAACTGCTCGACCACGTCCTGAAGCAAACCAGGTACTACAGCCACAACGTACGGAACCGGATCATCCCCAGTGGACTACAGTCCACATTTAGGCCTTCCCAATTTGGCCCCAACCGCAACAATGTCTGCATTCAGAACATTGAGATCCTTAAAACGTTTCTCCCTGCGCCCCATTTCTGAAGAAGGGTCTAGGCCTGAAACGTCAGCCTTCCTGCTCCTCTGATGCTGCTTGGCCTGCTGTGTTCATCCAGCTCTACACCTTGTTATCTCTTAATCTGAATTCCTTTACCTGATTTGAGCTACTCGTAGTTCCAGACCAACGCCTGTCAGTGGTATGATTGCCACATAGGAAATTCCATGTCATTGGGCATGGGTTTTGTGGGTCCTTGTGTAGCTGATGAGCCCGTTCCTAGAGCTAAATCTCAATTGACACTTGTTTCCTCGAGATACTTTCCCATTCTTCCTTTTGCTGTAAGGTGTTCTGAGTTGTGACCCTTCTTATAAGAGGTTCTTCCAAGTTGGTTTCTTCTGGATGAGGATCTCCTAGGTATTGATGTCTATATTGCATTTCTTGAGGTAAGTCTTCAGGGAGTCTGTGAAGTGCTTCTTTTAGTCCTCTTCTTGTTCAAGTGTCTTCCTTAAGCTGGGTGAAGAAGCTTTGCTTTGGTAGTTGGAACTTGGACATCCTAAGCATGTTGCTGGCCCAGCAGAGTTGGTTTAAGATGTTAGTGGCTTTTATGCTAGGATGCTGATATTAGTACTCCCAGCTGATGTGGAGCGTTGATGGTATTTCTCCACGGCTTTAAAGTGGTGTCTATACAGTTCAGCTGTGGAGCCATATAGAAGAGTCAGAAGGATGACTGCTTTATACACAAGGTTCTTGGTAAACAGTATGGTTGGCACGGTCATTGGACGCCCAAGGATGACAGTCTTCAAAGTGGCACTTACACATTGGATGGAGTGTTGGATCTCCACATCCATGTCAGCCTTAAATGTGGGTTGGCTCCCCAGGTAGGGGAGATGTTTCATGTTTTGGACAGGTTGACTTGAGTCTTGAGCTTGAAGCTGAGACTGATTGTTCAGTATGCTTCTGCAAAGGCATTAAGCAAGGCTTGAAGATTCTCCTCAGAGAGCAGAGATCATGTTGTCATCTGCATACTGAAGTTCCAGAAACAAGTTGGGTGTCATTTTCATCTTGGATTTCATGCAGTTCAGTATGAAAAATTTATCTTCCATCTTGCAGACAATGCCCACACCACTGGGAAGCCTGTTCCTGACAAGGTGAAGAATGGTGGCAATGAAGATGGAGAAAAGGGTGAGAGCGATGACACCACTGCTGACTCCTGCCTTGACTGCAAAAGATTCTGCCACACTAGCATTGGGGAGGACCATCGCCAACATCTTTTCATTGGGGAGACTGAAGATGTTGATGAATATCTCTGGACAGCTGGCCTTTGACAGCGTCTTCCATAGCACTTCCTGATTGCGTCAAAAGCTTTAGTCAGATTGACATAGGCCATTGTTGTAAAGTGAAAGATGGCTAAATCTGCCCCGACTAACCTTGACCAGTTTTCAATAATCTTTTAGTTTGTGTGTTACGTGGTGAGATTGACAAAGGGGACAAGTCAAGGGGACTCCTATAAAGGAAAAGCAATCTATCATTGTACTTTAATTAAACTCCGTCAATTTCTTTGTAGGACTCTTCATTAAATAGTCTTAAATCTACACTAGCTATCTACCTCTGACGTGTGCTTCTGAGGATTCGCTACATCCTGTCCAAAGGTTCCCCCCCAATCGCTGTATATGAACCGTTTGTCCAAAAAGACTGGTATTAACCATTCAGTAAGGCTGTGTCATGCTGTTCCTCTGTCTTTGAAGGTTGGCTGATGTTTTGGGATCTGAAGTCAGTCTGGCCTTCTCTTGTCTAGGGATTGTTCTGGTCATCTCCCTGTTGTCGCCTTCTGAATCTGATGATGCAATGGGGTACAAGGAGCCAAAGATGCTGTGCAGCTCAGCTGACTGTTAAAGATGCTCTTTTTGGAGAAATCTTTGAAGAATGTGCAAAAGGCAGAGAACTGGAGCTCTAGGTTGCCTGTTTTATCCTTCTCTTCATGTACTTCTCAAAGTTTTTATGGTCTATGTCTAGTTCTAGCATTGTGCAGGGGCAGGAAGATCCAGTGAGGTGAATACTTTCATATTTAGAGGTCGCAAATCATTGTTTGACCCCTTTAACTGCCAAGTGCTGTCCTTATTACCCTGTGCCTCTGGCATACTGAGATGGGTGCCACCAAGTCAGCACAGCATTTTTCTAGCAACGTAGGCTCACTGCAGGTATAAACAACGTGTCCATTAGCACCTGGCCAGGCAGTCCCAGGCCTGTTTGACTTCGATGGGGATAACACAGCAGGCCGAGCAGGAAAGCTGACGTTTTGGACCTAGACCCTTCTTTCCTGCTCCTCTGATGCTGCTCGGCCTGCTGTGTTCATCCAGATCTACACCTTGTTATCTCAGATTCTCCAGCATCTGCAGTTCCTACTATCTCTGACTTTGATTGTCCAAGACAAGGCTGTATGAATATTGTCTGTTGCAGCTGTGCAGTTTGCAAATTGCAGAGTCCAGGTAGGTTTAAACTTGGCTTCCACGTTTCAAGTTTTTAATCCATGCTCGTGAGAAAATATCAGTATTTCTGTCACAATCCTGGACATAGTGAGTTACCTGACCATACCATGTAGAATGGTTAGTGTTGTTCCTGGCATTTCTCTTGGAGTTATCAAGCAGTGATGATCATATCCATAGTTTCATGGAAGGATTTCTTCAGAAACAGGGAGAAGGTGCCTAGAGGGGATTCGGCAATGATCTTCCTGGTGATGGAGAGGAGGGAGATTCCTTAGTAGTTCCCACAGTCCACTTTATCTCCTTTCTCGAAGACAGTGGTGATGGCAGCATCCTTGAGCTCGACAGGGATTTCTTCTTTGTCCCAAATTTTCTGGAACAGTTAATGGAGATGACGGATAAGCTCTGCTCATCCAAGTTTGAAAATCTCTGGAATTTTGTCTACTCCTGCCATTTTTCCATTCTTGGTTTGTCTAATCTTGTCTTCAACTTCTGCCACACTAGATGGGAGTCTGAGATCATCTTTGATGAGGACCGAGAGGATTTCTGTGATTTTTATTGTGGTTTAGGAGTTCTTTGACATTTTCTGTCTCTCAGAAGGGTGCTGTCCTTACTCGACATGTCTGTATATTGCCTTGGTGACACTGAAGAAATGCAGAAGTTGTGCTTTTCAGGAAGGAGTTGCAGCTCCTTAGCTTTTGCAGTCCACCATTGGTTCTTGATTTCCCTAGTTTTTCTTTGTAACTCCATCTTTGCTACTTGATGAGTTCACCTCTGCCTCGATGGTGGTGATGCTTTGCCAGGCACAGACTGTTTTCCTCCTCTTGTTGATTTAGATCTTGGATGTTGTGGTCATTCTCATTGAATCAGTTTTTGGTGTTTCCTGATGTTGTAGTTAATGGTTTCTTCACAGCATGAGATACTGATGTCTTTCAGCTCTTTCCAGATTTCCTTCACACCATTAAAATGAGCTCTTTGGAAATTTTGGTGAAGATGTCTTTGGAAGTTCACTAGCCTGCCCTACTTTTGAAGCTGCCCAACGTTGAACCTTTTTCTGAACTGTCTTCACATGCTTCTGGTGGAATTTGATAGACATTGAGGGATGGATGAGGCAGTGGACTCTCCAGCAGTTGTTTGCATTGGTCATCACTTTTTGATAATGAGGGAACATCCTCTCGGCCTCAGGATCAACCAGTGGTGTAGTCAATCGTGTGCCAATGCTTTGAATGTGGATGCCTCCATGAAGTCTTGAATTTATCTTGTTGGTGAAACAGTGTGTTGCTGGTGACTAGCTGGTGTTCCACACATGTTGTGAGCAGAAGAATTCCATTGATGTTGCAATTCCCCAACTTCCTTTTCTAATTGTTTCTTTCTAGAGTTGGGAATCCTTTCCAACCTGGTGTTGAAGTCTCCAAGGAGGATATTGGTGTGTATGGTGTCCAAGGTAGAGTAGAAGTCTGCCTTGGACTAATCAAGGGTTGGGGCTTAGGAACTCATGACCATTGCCTGTTGGCTCTTGGCAGTTTTCAGAAAGAGAGTCTATTGATACCAATATGGACCTCCGAGTTGGTTGGCAAGTTTATTCATGATGGCAAATCCCATTCTATGAATCCTGGGTTGATTTTCGCGTGCAACCCCCACTGTCTTCCTTTAGCTACCATTCACCTGCTCTTCAAGTCTCCTGCAAGGCAGCAATGTCAGTGTGAAATGTCCGAGTTCATGGGAACAAAGGCAGTTCTTCATTCTGGAAGATTGTTTGGCTCATTGTACGTGAGGGTTCTGAGATTGGGTTCACTTTTTTGTTTTCAGACCGCCTGATGAGATTTTCCAAATGGGTTGGAGACGAAGCAGGCTATTTTTCGGGTACCTTTTCAAGCCCCTTCCCCATGTGAGATGAGCAGATTGGATAGTGGATGCTGAAGAGGGCTGCTGGGTCATGAAGAAAGCTGCCACTACACGTTCCTGTTCTTGTTCCAAGGGTGAAACAACTGAATCAAACACCACTGCCCATGTGCTGGTCTGAAAACAGTGAGCTCAATCTAAGACTCTCTCAACTCTGTCTCTCACCTCTTGTCACTCACCACAGGGCTTGTGTTGTGTATGTCGTTGGGGGTGGTTGAATTCCTGTAGGTAGACGCCTTGTGCGAGACATCTTAATTGTGCAACAGTACGCCCACAATGTAGACGTACTATCCTTGACAGAGGGTAGATCCAGTTTCAGTGGCAATGACACCCCAATGACTGGAGATCTTCCTACTGCTGCTGCCTTCATCTGCCATTGCAGCTGTTGATATCATAAGAGTATCTCCTGCCTGGGTTGCTGTTGAGGACTAGTTTTAGATTGCATTGTCTGGTTCCTTACTGCCATAGTGGCCCTGCCTGGAGTTGAGAACTCTTGGCGGCATCATTCTTTGGATCAATGGAGCACTCAAACTTCTCCACCTCAGTAAGGTGGCAATCCACAGACAGGTACAGACCAACAGCGGTGAGTTTTAACTGCCTTCTGAAGTGGCCAAGCAAACTGCTCAGTTTGAGGGCAAGAAATGCACCGACATTTCCATCAAAGAATGAAAAAGAAGGCCATATTTGCTGACGCCACCATGTGGTGTCTTAAGTGTGTGAATAAAGTGGATTTTGAGTGACATGGCCCATGTCCATGGGGCAGGAGGGGTGATCTGGTCTTGAAATGGAAGGATGATGAGGTAGGCCTGGGTGGAGGGGATGTCCTGGCCCTCCTTTCTCCTCCCTCTGGAGGGTATCTCCTGACCAGTGTTCCACGTCATCCCCACTCTTCACCAGCACATAGGCAGTGGAGTTTGACTCAGTCATTTTGCTGAGCCCCATTTCAGAAGTATGCGCAATTCCATGTGCTTGTGCAGTGCTGCATTTGTGGACAATGAACTTAACGTTTGTGGATGCGTATTTGAAATGTCTTAATATTCAAGGCAATCAGCCAAGTGCTGGAAAGTGGGATTAATATAGATAGGTCCACAGACTGTAAGATATAGGAGCAGAATTAGGCCTTTTGCCCATCAGGTCTGCTCCACCATTTGATCTTGGCTGACTTGTTTCTCAACCCCGTTCTCCTGCCTTCTCCCCATAACACTTGATCCCTTTAGAATCTATCTATCTCTGTCTTAAATGCACTTGATGACTTGGTCTCAACAGACCTCTGCAATAATGAGTTCCCCTAATTAACCATCCTCTGTCTGAAGAAATTCCTCCTCCTCATTTTCTAAAGGGTCATCCTATCACTCTGAGGCTGTGCCCTTGGGTCCTAGTGTTTCCTACTAGTAGAAAAATCTTGTCCATGTCCATGCCTCTGGTGGCAAATAACGCCTGCAGAACTCCATTAGTCACCGGCTGCAATCCTGTAAAAGACCCCTTTATCCCCCCACACTGCCTTCTGCCAGTGAGCCAATTCTGTATCCATGCCAGTGCCTTGCCCAAACACCAGGGGGTTTGTATTTTGCAGCATCTTGTCAAAGGCATTTTCTGTGGGCATTTGATCGGCCCAAGGGCCTCGTGTGCTGTGAGACTTTGACTCTAATGGATACTGTATAAGTATCTAAGCAGTTGTGAATGGAGCTGAACGTTGCATAATCATCCAACATCCTCTCCTCTTATTATGGAGGGAAGATAATTAGGCCTACAGCCACTGTCCTGAGGAACTCGAGGACTCTTGTGGTGCAGTGATGGTGTCCCTACCTTCAGACCAGGTGGCCTGGATTCAAGTTCTACCTGCTCAGAGGTGTGCAATAACATCTATAAATAGATTGATTAGAAAGTACCTACTCTGGGGACTACTACAGAGATATTTGTCCTCCATCTATTTTCCTTTGTGCCAGATATGACTGCAACTTACAGAGCGTTTACCCTTGATTCCCATTGAATTCATTTTGCCAGGGGTCCAATGCAATGGATTTGACAACCAATGTACACGGTTGAATGAATGTGCAGAGTAGGATATAAGGAACCACGTGTGAACTAAAGCATAAATTGGGAATAACTGCAGTGTGTGAGTGTCACTCGAGTGACAGTGTAAGATACAAAAATGCAGAGCACTGTAGAAATATATAGTATAGGTTTGGAATAATTGCAGATTGGGAGTTACACAGGGAAGAAATAAATAAGTTTTAGAACAAAGTTAAAGAAATCCATGTTTAATATTTTGCAGTGGAGTGACTGAAAATTTCAATCTATTTTGTTTCAGGACAAATGCAATTTTATTGGAAACTGATGCAGCAAAAAAGTGGGTAAACAAATGGGGATTTCTGGTAACTGAACGTGATAAGGTAATGCCATTCCCAATCTCTGGAATCTGAGACGAATAGGATGTAAAGGTGTTGAGAACAATATGTCCCTTTTTTAGTTTAAGTTTATATTTTGTACTTTGTTTAGAAGGTGAATACTTTGCTCATTATTTTTAGAGTTTCATTTGAGAGATTTAGGATTTGCTACCAGAAGTCTGGAGATTTGAATTGTATATACACATTTTCACAAGGTGGTCAGTGTCCTTAAAAGTAAGGTGGAGAAACAAAACTATTTTTGGTGGGGTCAGAGTGGCCACAGGACACTAGTCCACTTCCATGGAAGTGACTTGTTGGGCTGAATTGTTCAAGGCCCCAATTTGCCCCCTCTCCCAGCCTGCGAAAGTGCCTAAAAGGGGATACCACTAGGTACTCTGCAGCAATTGAGGGGCAATTGGTTATTAATAAATGAGAAGTGATATTTTTCCCCTGCCTGCTGGGACAATCAGAGATCTGGCCCCCTCCAGCACATTGGGATAGAAGCGTGTGACCATTGGATTGGAATTTGGGTGAACAGGCGAAACTTATGCCTTGCCCACAATGGCAAGCTTGGTCATAGGGCAGCAGGTGGGTATCTTCTCACATTTCCACTTCCACATTTTCCCAACCTGCCAACAATTGAAGTGCTTAGCTGGGTAGAGTCACAGGAACAGACATTTCGGCCCGACTCATCCATGCCAACCAAGTTTCCCAAACTAAGCTAGTCCCAATTGCTGCATTTGGCCTATGTTCCTCTAAACCTTTCCTATTCATGTAACTGTCCAAATGACTTTTAAATGTTGTAATTGTACCTGCATCTACAACTCCTTCTCGTAGTTCGTTCCAGATATGAACCATCCTCTGCGTGAAAAGGTCTCTTTTAAATCTTTCTCCTCTCACCTTAATATGACCCCTAGTTTTGAGCTCCCTCACTCTAGGGAAAAGACCTTTGCTATTCACCTTATCTATGCCCCTCATGATTGCGCTGGTATTAACCCAGCAGTGGACAGGGTCTCACCAAGATGGGAAAACATAGGCTACCCTGGGGGAGGGGGTTGAGGTTGGGGGAGAAGGGTCCCATGTAAAAAGGCCTGATCAAGCAATCTGATATTTGGAAGAAAGAACGTGTTGAAAGCCACACTATTGGCCTTGCTGTTTTACTTTTCACCTGTGACTCTCCTCCTGCCCTCACTCCCTCCTGACCTTGCTGCCAAACCCTTCCCCTGTGATTGCTGTCCTACCCGCGTTTAACCCTGGCCTGGGATACGCTGACGATCCCTGAATCCACTGATGCATTACTAGCGCCGTTACCTCCCTGGTGGTGCTACTGTTTCTGGCTTTTGATAAGTTGATACCTTTCTGGGATTGGATGGGTTTCTCAGATTTACTTCACTACTGGGGCTTGTCTATGTGAGAATATAGCTACACGATGAATGGAGTGTAAGTGACTTACCTGAATGTCTTACACTTTTGATGACTAAGACCTCACACCACCCAAACTTGAACTTGTATGATCACTCCTTCACTGTCAGTCGGTTAAAATCCTGAGACTTCCAAAGCCAGCAGGATTCTGGGTGTACTTTGATCCTATAGACTAGACACTTCAACGTGGCTCCCTCCCATCACTCCCTTGGGGGCAATTCGTATTGGGCAGTAAATGCTGGATTTAACAGCAACACACATCCCTAAATTGAAAACCATGCTGACGCTCTATGTCCAGACTGATTTAAAGGAAGAAGGTAGCATCTTACTGCGGGGAGACGCCATTAGGACATGAAGTGGTGCAGAGGATAAGTTGGTGGGACCTGTAAGAAGTGCGTAAAGGATTTGTGATTTTTTTTTTCTAACATTCCCGTAATTCGTGGCCATGAAACTAAGTAGGGTTCACTTTTTTCTCTGTGGGGTATGGGTATCCCTGTTAGGGCCAGCGCCCGTTGGTCTCGATCAGTTAAGAGTCAACCACATTGGTGTGGGTCTAGAGTCACATGAATCAGACTGGATGAGGATGGTAGGTTTACTTTTTTAAATTGGTTTGTGGGACATGAGTGTCACTGGCTGCACTGGAGTTTATTGCCCATCCCTAGTTGTCGTTGAGAAGATGGTAATGAGTTGGCTTCTTGAACCATTACAGTCCATGTGCTGTAGGTAAACCCACCATGCTGTTAGGAAGGGAACGAAAGGATTTTGACCCAGCAACGGTGAAGGAATAGTGATGTATTTCCAAGTCATGTTAGCGATGACTTGGAGAACTTCCAAGTGATGTGGTGCCATGTATCTGTTGCTGTTGTCCTTCTAGAGGGAAGTGGTTGTGGGTTTGGAAGATGCTGACTAAGGATCTTTGAATTTCTGCAGTGCTTCCTGTAGATCGTACACACTGTTGCTACTGACAGCCACTGGTGAAGGGAGTGAATGTTTGGGGATGTGGTGTCAATCAAGCTGGCTGCTTTTTACTTGATGGTGTCGAGCTGCTTGTGTAGTTGGAGCTGCACTTATCCAGATAAATGGGGACTATTCCATCACACTCCTGACTTGTGCCTTTGTAGATGATGGACAGGCTTTGGAGAGTTAGGTGAATTACTCGCTGCAGTATTCTTGGCCTCTGACCTGGTCTTGTAGCCACTGTATTTGTATGATGAGTCCAGTCATTTTCTGGTCAGTCGGATTCCCAGGATGTTGATAGTGGGGAATTCAGTGATGGTAATGCTATTGAATGTCAGGGGGTGGTGATTAGATTTACCTCTTATTGGAGATGGTCATCGCCTGGCATTTGTGTAGTATGAAGATTAGTTGCCATTTTTCAGCCCAAACCTGGATATTGTCTGGGTCTTGTTACATTTGGACATGGACTGCTTCCTTGGTGTCTGTGGAGTTGTAAATGGTACTAAGCATTGTGAATTATTCAATCATCATTGAACATCCCCACTTTTGACCTTGTGATGGAGGGAAGATCATTGCTGTAGCAGCTGAAGATGATTGGGCCTTGGGCACTGCCCTGAGGAACTCCTGCAGAGAGGCCCTGGAGCTGAGATGACTGGCCTCCAGCAACCACAACCGTCTTCCTATGTGCCAGGTATGACTCCCAACCAGTGGAGAGTTTTCCTCTTGATACCCATTGACTCCAGTTTTGCTAGGACTCCTTGATACACACTCTGTTGAACCTTGTCTTGATGTCATGGACTGTCACTCTCACATCATCTCTGGAATTCAGCTCTTTTGTCCATGTTTGAACCAAGGCTATAATGAGGTCAGAAGCTGGGAGTCCCTGGTGGAATTCAAACAGAGCTTCAGTGAGTGGGTTATAGCTAAGCATGTGCTGCTTAATAGCACTGTTGATACTTTCCATCACTTTACTGATAATCAAAAGTAGACTGATGGGGTAGTAATTGGTCGGTTGATTTGTCTTGTTTTTTTGTGTACATGACATACCTGAGCAATTTTCCACATTGTCGGATAGCTACTAGTGTTGAAATAGCTAGTACTGGAATAGCTTGGCTAGGGGTATTCTGGAGCCTAAGTCTTCAGTACTATTTACGGAATGTTGTCTTAGTGCCCTGAAAGGCTATTAGGACATTAGTGAACTAATTAAAGAAAAATACAACAATTAGAGTTTAATAATCGCCTTTATGTTCCAAACTAATTCATTAAATTTTAGTTCCACAGGCGACTGTCCTAGGATTTGAGCATTAGCCTGGGGATCCAGGTTCCTCTCCCAGTGACATTACCACTACAGCCCCTGATAGAGTCTGGTGTTAAGGATTTTGAATTGAGTTTTGAGAATCTTGACCTCTTCAGCCTTGATCAGGAATGTAGAAGAGATGTGTGCAGGAATTGTTAGGGCTGTGATTGAAATATTAATATACATTAAATTGCAAGATAGGAACATTGGGACCTGGGATAAAACTAGTGAGGGGAAAGTATTTTTAGGATCAATTTTAGGAATTACTTTTTCAAATGTAGGATAATTTTACACAAAATTCTTACATGGAGTACTTTGCAGGGATTCTACCACAGGCCTCCTAAGAGTCAAAGGGTGATAGAGGAGCAGATATGTAAGCAAATTATGGAAAGGTGTGAGAGGAGTAGGGTTATAGTTGTAGGGGATTTTAGTTTTGCTTACATTAGCTGGGAAAAACTTAATGTGAAAGGATTAGATAGGGTGGAATTTTTAAAGTACATCAATAGAGCTATTTGTGCCAGTACATAGTCCTATTAGAAATGGGGCAGTGCTAGACCTAATCCTAGGGAATGAAGCCAGTCAAGTGTTTGAAGTTTCAGTGGGTGAGCATTTTGGGGCTAGTGACCATGATTCTAAGTTTCAAAGCCAATGTGAAAAAAGGACAAAGGACAGTGCAGAAGTTGTCTAAATTGGGGGAAGGCCAATTTCAATATCATTAGACAGGATCTGGCAAACATTAGACTGGGAGCAGTTCCTTGCAAGTAAGTTTAATTTGGAAAGTGGTGTAGTAAGAATTCAGGGCCACGTGCTCCTCCTAAGAGTGAAAGGTGAAGACAGCAAGTCCAGAGAACCCTGGATGTCAAGGGATATCGAGAGTTTGATGAAGAAAAAGGGAAGGAAGGAAGTGTTAGGTACAGAGCATCATAAATATGGTGGACCCTTTTTTTTTTTGGAAAAGGTGTGTAGGGAATGCTTGTAAAAAGAATGTAGAGGGCAAAGTGCGGCCACGAAATATCTTTGGCAGATAGGGTTAAGGAAAACTCTCTCAAAGCATTTTATAAAATATGTTAAGAGGAAGGAGTAGAGCATATTAGAGACCAGAGGAGGAGCAATTGTACGTGGAGCCAGATGACGTGGGTGAGGTCTTAATATTTCTCATCTGTATTCACAGAGGAGAAAGACGTTTGTAGCTGGGATTTTCATCTGGGATGAAGTAGTTCTAGAATATGCTAAGATGTTTTAGCAGGAGTAAAGGTGCATAAATCGCCAGCGCCTGATGAGATATATAACTGGATGCTATGGGGGAACAAGGGAAGAGATTTCTGGGGCC